TCGCTGTCAGGACCGCCGTAAATATAGGGGGCTCCCCACTCCTTTGTCTTTGGTCCTTTATCATTGCTAGTCTTTTTGTAAAAGGGGATAAAACTGTTTTTCTTGATTTAATACCAGGAGACCAGAGAATATATGGTTCAGATTGGGTCACTTTTGAGAGCAGAGGGGGCACTTGTTAATAATTCTGCCTCCCAACCGGCCACAAGGAGGGCTGTCCTGGGGAGCCGGACCCCCTCACCGCCTGGGGACACCTGGGGAGGTTTCCACAAAAGGCCAGAGAACAGGCTGGGCCAACTGGAGCGTGCATGGTGTTGGGAGTTTTTTTTATGAGGGGTCATCCCCACCCCCAAACTTGGGGCTGCCAACTCAGGTTGATATACCCCCAGCATTTCAGGCTGAGAGAATTGGACGCCTAGGGCTGGAACTTCTCCAAATTTCCCCATCTAGCAGTCCACCTGCATAGTTACCTGTCCCCACCAGCCGTCTGTCCACCTTACTCTTTGCCTGTCTCCAGCAGCCCTATGGCAGCATATTGCTATCGCTGAGAACAGGGTCTGACATAAAGGCGCTCAGGGATAAGGTCAGTAAATGAATGAACGAGTGAACGAATGAACGAGTGAACGAATGGATGAGTGAACGAATGAGTGAATGAATGGATGTGTGAACGAATGGATGAATGAACGAATGGATGAGTGAATGAATGAGTGAACAGGTGAATGAGTGAACGAATGAGCGAATGAATGAATGAGTGAATGAATGAATGAGGACTGCATGAGTGATCACCAGGACCATCCTCGTGGCAGCTGCCGTTTATTGGTGGCTTGATAAGGGTCGGGTGCTCTGCTAAACACTGTGCATGGGTTCCCATCAAACCCTCCCAGCAGCTCTGCCGACAGGCACAGGCCCATTTTATAGAAGAGGAAATGGGACCTTGGACAGGTCAAGCCACGTGCCAGGTCAGGAGTGGTGGGGTCACCACCTGGCACAGGTCTGGCCGACCCTGGAGTCATGCGCACACCAACATACCACACTGCCCCCATCTCCCCCTCTGCTGGCCTCCGGGGCACCTCGTGGAGGGCAGAGAGAGCCCGGCCAGAAGGAACAGAAGGTGCAGGCTCCAAGCCCAGTGGTCCCCCCGCTCAGGGATGAGGCGATGAATTCATGTCCCTTCCCGAGAATGAGGACCTGTCCCAGTTTACCCCAGTTTGGGGTCTGCAGCCTCCACAAGCCCCATGCCTCCAACCATGTGGCTGCTTGGTCCTTGAAGCTGGGGTTGGAAGAGACCCTTAAGAACCAGTGTACCACCACCCCATTTTCAGGTGGGGAAACTGAGGCCCAGGGAGGGCCAGGCCCGGGGGCTGGCGGGTGGCGCTCGTCGTGAGCATCCTGGCAGAGAGGCCACTCGCCAGCTGTCAGCTCAGCCTCCCTCTGGGCACTGGCCGTTGCGTGGCAACTGCTGGCCGCACAGCCCAGGAGGTAGCGCTGGGAACCATGTGGTTGGAGACGGAGCCCCACCGAGGGGTGCTTCTGCTCTGCTCCCTTCCGTGGTCCCTCCGGGCTCCGACGGGAGGGGCCCCGAGTGGCGCCGGGTGGGGATGGATGGGTGGAAAGCCAGCTCGCTCTACACTGACCCAGCCCAGGAGCGCCTGCGCCCTGCCTGCTGCTTTTCCGTGTGAAAGGTGTTTAATTATTTCTGACAGAGTTCAGCGTCGACATCTGTTCGCGAGCGGGGAGAGTCCATTTAGGTTATCCATCACCGTGACAGATTCCACTTTTTTGGAAGTGCCTTTTCCTTTCATAATGGGGCCGGGTGGGGAAGGGGGGCAGGCGGATCAGCACAGACACGAGGCACAAAGACTCTCCCGGGGCCCTGACAACAAGCAGCCCCCTCCCCGTCCCGAGGGAGGAGCAGTTCTAGTCACGACTGGCCCTTGTGGGTCCAGACCCCGCCGGTGGCTGCTGGGGCTCGTGGGCACTGGGACATTTAAGTTGGGAAGGGGGTCTCCAGGGTCTGTGAAAGGCTTTTCAATTCTTCTGTCCTCCTGGGCGGTACTGGCCATTCATTCGTTCATCCGACACTTCATTCATTCTTCCCACAAACACTTACTGGTCACCTGTTGGGTGTCAGGGCTTTCTTGGTGGCTCCAATGGTAAAGAACCCACCTGCCAATGCAGGAGATGTAGGAGACCCAGGTTCAATTTCTGGGTGGGGAGGATCCCCTGGAGGAGGAAATGGCAACCCAGTCCAGTGTTTTTGCGGAAATCCCATGGACAGAGGGAGCTTGACGGACTGCAGTCCATGCCGTCACAAGAGTCAGACACAACTGAGTGACAATGTTCGTCTCTGCTGGGTGTCAGGCCCCGTGCTGGGCTCCTGGGACACAGTGGGGACACAACAGACAGGCCTTTGTGGGCTCACACTTTACTGGGGAAGATGGACATTGAACAATGAGTGGCCCAGTTAATGAATGAATTGCAGTGCAGCTAAGTGCCTCAAAGGGGTGGAAAAGGGCTCACTGGTATCGAAGACGGGACCTGCCGGGGTGGGACTGGAAAGTGAAGGATAGTGTCCTCGGGAGGCATCACTGCCCAGCCACACGGAGAAGAGGCCCCGGACCGGGCAGGAACCCCTTTCTCTCAGGGTAAGTTCCTTCCCCTCTCTGAACCTCAGTCTCCTCATCTGTAGAATGGGACCATTGTATCTATGAAATACTGCATGTCTGGCGCTTGGGACACAGTAGGAGCTCAGTAAGTACTTTTCACTGGTGGCATTTCCAAGCAGGGAGGGTGCTGAGTGTCTCGGCAGTGGCGGCAGGGGCTCTTGGTGCCTCTGTGGGGCTGTCCGGGGTGGTGCCCAGGGACCAGCCATACTGAGATTCCTGTGGCTGAACTTCCAGAGCCCATGAGCATCCCCGGGGAAGATGAGAAAACACCCTGTAAGCCCAGGCATTTGCATTTTATTCTACTTCTTGTTATTTCAATGGCACAGTGGATGGTGCCTTTGAACTCAGGCCTTGCAGTTAGAGGGACCTGGGTTCCAGGCCCAGCCACTTGAAAATGAACACCATCTCTGCCGGTCCTCCTCAGAACTCAGGTAAGGAAGCTGTGCAAAATAATACATGTAAATGACTCAGCACGACACAGGGCTGGCATCACAGGCGGGTAGCCGTGCTCCTAATGGGTTTTTATAACAACAGTGTTAAGATCAGAAGAGACCTGTGCTCAGTTAAGTCATATCCCCTCTCTTAGACTCATTGGAAAAGACCCTGATGCTGGGAAAGACTGAAGGTAGGAGAAGGGGGCGACATAGGATGAGGTGGTTGGATGGAATCATCGACTGAAGGGACATGAGTTTGATCAAACTCCGGGAGATGGTGAAGGACAGGGAAGCCTGGCGTGCTGCACTCCATGGGGTAGTAGAGAGCTGGAAACGACTGATTGATTGAACGACAAGAAATAGAAACTCATTTATTTCTGAATTTCTGCTCCTACTCTGGGCCAGACTGTGGGGGTACCTGCAGGTGAGACAGGGCTCCTGACACAGGGGAATCCATGTTACCCAGGTTGGGGGCCGTGGACAGGGAGAGGGGCCCTTTCCTGCTCCAGTGGGGGCAGAGGAGACCACCGCAGCCCTCCCTTGTCCGTTGCCTTGGGAGCTATGTGTGTGCTTAGTCGCTCAGTCGTGTCTGACTCTTTGCGGCCCCCTGGTCTGTAGGGACCGCCAGGCTCCTCGGTCCGTGGAATTCTCCAGGCAAGAATAACGGAGTAGGTAACCATTCCCTTCTCCAGGGATCTTCCTGACCCAGAGATCGAATCCAGGTCTCCTGCATTGCAGGCAGCTTCTTTACCAGCTGAGCCACCGGGGAAGCCCCTGGGAACTACAGGCAGGTTTTAAATCAGAGTCGAGGAGCTGCGAGGGGCTGGGGGTCGGCATGTAGAGCGGAGTGCCAGCAGGGTATCTCGTGCCCGGGGAGCTGTGGGTCCTATCCCTCCCCGGGCAGGGTCCCCAGGACGTCTGTCCCCAGTGCCCCACCACGGACATCGAATGTCAGGAAAATCAGAAAGAAAAGAGCAAAAGAGGAAAGGCAGCATGTTGAAGGAGAGGCCAGAAGGGAGCTGTGGGCCAGATGCCTGAGTGCGGGGATGGGGCAGGAGGGACGAGGGCGGAAAGGAAGGGAACTGGGAGCTGTGGGCCAGATGCCTGAGTGCGGGGATGGGGCAGGAGCGATGAGGGCGGAAAGGAAGGGAACTGGGAGCTGTGGGCCAGATGCCTGAGTGCGGGGATGGGGCAGGAGCGATGAGGGCGGAAAGGAAGGGAACTGGGAGCTGTGGGCCAGATGCCTGAGTGCGGGGATGGGGCAGGAGCGATGAGGGCGGAAAGGAAGGGAACTGGGAGCTGTGGGCCAGATGCCTGAGTGCGGGGATGGGGCAGGAGCGATGAGGGTGGGAAGGAAGGGAACTGGGGGAGGCGAGGGGCGCTGCCCAGGCCAGGCGGGGGAGCGGTTAACAGGCCAGCGGCACACCCCACTCCCCTGCTCTGCGCCCGGCCCTGCCCGTGTGAGCAGCAACGGCCTGGACTGATGGAGAGCGGGGCGAATGGCCACTGACATACGCTGATGGCGGCCACTTGGGCAGGACATGGGCGCCGCATCAAGGGCGGCGGGCAGGCCTCGCTGGCAGCCTGTTCGGTTGCATTAGGCTCAGGAGGGCACGGGCCCCTTCGTTGTCTAAATTGCAGTTTAACTCAAACAAGCGGCCGGGCCTGGTCTGGCCAGGAGCGTGGTTTTGTGTGGCTGTCTTCCCGGGGCCAGGCGTGTCTCTGGTGACACTTAGGAAGGGCCCCAACACGTCAGCTCTTGCTATTATTGTTGTTGTTTTCATTGTTGTTGTGCCAGTCGGGGGGTAGAAGCCCACAGAAGCCGCTGTCTAGCGGACAGATAAGGAACAGGAAGCAGGCCACCCGCTGGGCCCGGGGAGGGGCAGTTGGAGACGGGACTGACCTTCTGGAAGTGAGGCATGTGCCAGAGGGCGTCCAGTCCCACAGGCGGCTTGTACTTCCTCAGCTGGCTGCTCCGGGTCTCGTAGAGCTTCCCGAGGATCACCTGCGGGTCAGAGAAAGGCCGAGGCCCAGTGGTGACCGGCTCCTGCAGAGGCCGGAGCCACGACGAAGGGGCTGGAGGGCCCGGGGCTGGGATTCCTGCTGGGGCAGCCCCGTGGGGCACTTTCCCCCTGGTTCCGGCCCTTCTCCCAGCCTGATCTCAGGGCACCTGCGCCCCTGGCCCTGCCCGGGACCAGGTGGACTCAGGGAGGGGACCATGGGGTGCTGAGAGCGTGCTGTTTCCGTTTCTGGTTCAGCCCTAGAACTCTCTGGGTTCTGGAAGGCAGCTGCCTCAAGGGCAGGGATGTGTCCTCCTTAGCTAAGACAGCCCAGGTGCCACCAGGTCTAAACGAATGAATGATTTGACGGGGCTGTTGCCATTTCTGGGAAGCAGGTCCTCAGCATGGTCTGCTCGTGGAAAAGAAAGCAGGACTCCTTTGAGAGCAGGAATTAGAGGGCTCAGTGGAGAGCCCTCGAGGTCTCTGTGGGTGGGATCTCAGAGCCTCAGAGGCGGTCCAGCTCCTCCTTAGCTGCACGCCCTGTACCCACAAACATGTGCTGTGAGCCTGTGGCTAGGGACCCATAGCCCATGGGGTCTGCTGTGGACTGAACTGTGTCCCCTCCAAATCCATATGATGAAGCCCTAGCCCCCAGCTGGGACCGTATTTGGAGCTGGGCCCTTAAGGAAGTGATGCAGGCTCAGTGATGTCAGAGGGTGGGGCTGTAATCCGATAGGACAGATGATGTTATATGAAGAGGAAGAGACACCAGGGGCGTCCACGCAGGAAAGGCCCTGTAAGGACGGGGTGAGAAGGCGGCCGTCTTCAGGCCGAGGGCAACCTCCAGGGCAACCGACACGGCCACCTCCACCTTGGACTTCCAGCCTCCAGGATTTCTGTGGTTTAAGCCAGCCGGTCTATCATACGCTGTCACGGTCACCCCGGCAGACTCACCCAAGGTCCCCGGCCCCCAGGTGCAGGATCAGAGGGGGACTGTGATTCAATGTGTGCCCCTGGGGAACTCCACGCACAGTCAGACCTTAGCTCACAGCTGTGACCTTGGCAGAACTCAAAACCTCCTAGGGGAGTTAGCAGGTAAATAGGGGGCTCTTGTTTATACCTAGAGCTAGAGAGTTGGAGCCCCACACCCGGAGTGGATGAGCTGGACGATGCACTGGTACCCAAGTGACCCAAAGAGCATGGGCCACTGCAGAAAGGGGCATGAGAGAGTGACACAGGACAGACAGCGCAGCCGACAAATAAAAGCTGACCCGAGTTTAACCGAAGATGCCACCACCGTATTGAACCCCTTTTATTTTATTTTTTTAAAAAGATAGCATCTCTTTATTTTACTTAATTATTTTTTGGCCGAGCCATGTGGCATGTGGGATCTTAGTTCCCTGACTGAGGATCAAGCCAGGGTCCCCTGCATTGGGAACACGGAGTCCTAACCACTGGATAGGGAGAGAACTCCTTTTATTGATTTATTTTGTTAATCAATTATATTAATTTTATTGAATGTGCCTGTGGATAACCTCCAAGCCCTTTGGATCAACTCTCCCCTCTGCTTCCTAGAACAGCAGCTTTGAAACTTTATCTCGAACCAAAGCTGAGAGGCTGCCTAGCCAAGGCTTAATGAGCCAGACTTCAGAATTAGAAGGATGAAAGTTGAGTCTTATCACCTTCCTCAACCTCAATTTCCACTGCAGGAAATGGGGTACCGATGCCTAACAAACATGTTCTTGTGGGATTTGCTGAGTTAGCTTTGAGCAGAGTGTCTGGTCCTAGATGATTGCTCACTAAATGGAAGCCAGTTTCTAAGAATTTCATTTGGGGTCATCACCATCCAAAACCCAGGACATCCTGAGCTGTTAAGAGACCAGTTTCTCCTAAGATAGGAGCAATCTGACCTTGTAAATCAACCGTCTCATCAACCCTAATAGACTGTGTGTCAGCCCCTCAGTGTTTTGAGGGTCTGGGTATTCGTAGCTCTTTGATAGAAAGCATCACAGCCACAGAGAATCTTGGAACAGAAGGACTCTGTGGTTGGTTTGACAACTGCTTTTTGAATGCTTACTATGTCCTGTGAAAGTGTTAGTCATTCAGTCATGTCTGACTCTACAACCCCGTGGACTGTAGCCTGCTAGGTTCCTCTGTTCATGGAATTCTCCAGGCAAGAATATTAGAGTGGGTGGTCATTTCCTTCTCCAGGGCATCCTCCCGACCCAGCGATCAAACTCAGGTCTCCTGCATTGCAGGTGGATTCTTTACCCTCTGAGCCACCAGGGAAGCCCCCTTTTATGTCCTGGGAAGCCCCGACTATATGCTGGGCCCTCTTTCAATCTGACCCCCTTTTTTGCCCATTGAGGTCATTGAGACCCCAGTTTGGATGGTATCATTGACTCAATGGACATGAGTTTGAGCAAACTCCGGGAGATAGTGAAGGACAAGGAAACCTGGTGTGCTGCAGTCCACAGGGTTTCAGAAAGTCAGACTAGACTGAGAGATGGAACAAGAACAACTAAAGTGGTGATTCACTCAAAGCCACATCCCCAGGCTGGCACCAGTCCCCGACCAGTTCTTGGGGCGGAGCCACTGGTAGTGGCTGACTACCGGCCAATCCTTTGGTCACCCGATGTGAAGAACTGACTCATTGGAAAAGACCTGATGCAGGGAAAGATTGAAGGTGGGAGGAGAAGGGGACGACAGAGGATGAGGTGGTTGGATGGCATCACCGACTCAAAGGACATGAGTTTAAGCAAGCTCCTTGAGTTGGTGATGGACAGGGAAGCCTGGTGTGCTACAGTCCACGGGGTCACAAAGAGTCAGACACGACTGAGCGACTGAACTGAACTGAACTGAACTGGGCTCTCTGCTGAAAAAGGCGAGGCACTGGCTATGAGACTATCTCTAGATTCACAAGATGTGCCCTCGGAGGCTCCGGATTCCATGGACCTGTGGCCCTCTGAGTTGTTATGAAATGGTTGCTAATTAGAAACATGACTCTGGCATGGAGCTATCAATATGAAGTAGCAGCATGTAACGGTAATGCTCCCTTGGAAACTGGTTGTTACCATAGTGAGCTCTTTCTTAAGCTATTAATGAATAAACTAGTCGTGGACTGCTTTTAAAATATTATTACAGAGACTCCCTAGTGGCACAGTGGATAAAAACCCGCCTGCCAGTGCAGGGGATACGGGTTCGATCCCTGGTCTGGGAAGATTCTACATACCATGGAGCAACTCAGCCCGCATGCCACAACTACTGAGGCTGTGTGCTGCAGCTACTGAAGCCGCATGCCTAGAGTCTGTGCTCAGCAACAAGAGAAGCCCCCACAATGAGAAGCCCGTGCACCACAACAAAGAGTAGCCCCGCTCGCTGCAACTAGGGAACACCTGTGCAGTGATGCAGACTCATGCAGCCAAAAATAGAATAAATACGTTAATTAATTTAAAATATATTACTACAGCGCTCTGCTCTGAGTGGTTGTCTCTGACTTCTGACTCTCCCCACTGCTGAGAACAGCCCGGAGGGGTCTTAGGCAGAAATCAGAGCCTTCCACTCTAGGGGCTTAAGCCAAAGTTGAGCCTGATCATCACCAAGACCCTTTCAGCACAGCAATGAGCAGCTTGATTGCCAGTCAACACCCAGCCTCGCCCACCAGCAACAGACATGCGCAGGGGGGCAGCCGCAAAGCCTTGCCCCTCCCCCAGCCTTCCCCTCCCCTCCCCTCCCACCCCATCAGTCACCCACCTTGCAGGGAGCATGGTGTTTACCTTTTGCTTTTTCTCCAGTTTAATGGCTTTCTGGGTGGCCTTCTGTTCCTGCACCCACAGCTGCTGGTACCGATGCTGCAGCAGATCAAAGAAGGGGGTGGAAGGCCTGTGGGCAAGAAGTCAGACAGGTCTGAGGAAGAGCCGGAGAACCCCCTCTCCCCAGAGGCTGCCTGCCTGACCGACAGGGCTGCGGGGAAGAGTGCCCTCCCCAAGGCTGGCTTTCTGCAGCCGTGGAAGAAACGGGTGCCTTCTGTAAAGCATTCAACAAATGTTTACTGCCCACCAATCAAGTGCTGGGCCTGATATGGTGACAGACTCGCCTCAACCAGATTTAAGACAGACTCCTCAGACCCCTCCTTTCCATCAGGCCTTGTCCTTGGGACCTGTCTAAGGCAGGATGAAGTCAGCCTTAGCAGAGAACCCTGCTAAGCCAGTCCCCCCACCCCTGATGTCTCATCACCTTGGCTTGCCTTTACCAAGAGTCCTGTTAAGGCAGTTTAGCAAGAATCCCCTATCTACCTTTGAAGTCTCCTCTTAGTAACTTGCATTCCACTCTGCTCCTTGGGTATAAATTCCCATTTGTGTTGTATTAAGAACTGAGCCCAGCTCTATCCTGAGGTCACTTTCCCCTTCGCAATAGTATTGAATAAAATCTGTCTTTATTGCCTTTAGCCTCTGCTTTGATTCTCATTGACAGGGGTCTCCATCCAAGGAGCATGTCCCCTGCATAGAGCATTTTACTCACCCCACTCCTCACAAAACTGTGAAGTGGGTACTATTAATATTATCACTCAACCTGCAGATGATGGGGTCAGGTCCCAGAACAGTGAGGGAAGGGCTGTGTGTGAGGCTCTCTCAAGGCAACCTAATAGGTGATGAGGGAAAGTACTTTCTAGAAGAACCAAAGCTAATAAGACGCAGGAGGAAGGACAGAATTGAGGGGAAGAGCATCATTACCTTGTGACTCCTAATGAAATAATGGATTTAGGTAATAAGTGATGATTAGGTAGAAGGCTGACAGGGAACTTTACAACGGATGGCTCAGGCTGCAGCAGCTGAACCACAGGATCAATTTGTTCTTAGTGTGATAAATGTGCAAAACATAAAATTTACCCAAGCGATCAATCTTACCATCACTGAAAGTGACAGACATGGGACCAGGAATGATTTTTATTTATTTATTTGGCTGTGCTGGGTCTTAGTTGCAGCACGTGGGATCTTCACTGCATCATGTGGGGATCTTCCGAGTCAGCTTGTGGATTCTCTAGTTGTGACATGTGGGCTCAGTAGTTGTGGCAGGTGGGCCTCATTGCTCTGCAGCATGTGGGGTCTTAATTCCCCAACCGGGCATCAAACCCATGCCCCCTGCATTGGAAGTGCAGAGTTTTAACCACTGGACCTCCAAGGAAACCCCCTGGCTTTGTGTTTTATATGGCCTGCACGGTGGTATTTAAAGTCTTGGAAATTGTTGTCGGCCCTTAAAAATTGGGAAATTTTCCATTTTAAAAAAACCCAGCTTTCCCAGATTGTCCTGAAGATGTATGTGTTCTGATCACATAGGTCTGCCTTCCTTTGTGGCAGCAGTTGGCTGGAGCTGAGTATCAGGTGTCATTTGGCCCCAGTCCTCTCTCATCCCTACTGCATCCACTGCCTGCTGAGCCCCTCCATGTGTTGGATTTTGTGGCCCCAGAAACAGACATGGAGCTGGATTGGACCCTAAACGCCCACCCCCAGCTCTCCCACCTTCCAGGCGGGCTTCTCTGGGACTGGGCTGACCTGGGACTCCTTTTGAGTGGCGCTTCTGCGGCTTTGAAATGCCACTCGAGCTCAGAGGTCTCTTTCCAGAGCAGCCTGCAGCGCATCTACAAACAGTGGCTCTTTGTTTTCTGGTTTCTTTACCCCTGTGGCGACTTTTATTACTTAATTATTACACACCCCATGCTTCTGAGCAGCCTAATTTATAGCCGTGCTTTCTAATGACACGAGATGCGTAATCTCGCAAGATCTACCCCAAGAGGCCTTTCACAACAGAAAAGCTATCTTTCCAGCAGCCTCCACTGCCCACAGCACCGCAAACCCACCCTCACGGCCCTCCCACAGCCGCCTCGCTGACTGTCTTTGTGTCCTGTTTCGGCCAGCGGTTCTTATTGCTGGAAAGAGGCAGGGGAGAGGCGCTTGGAGCAGAAGAGCTGACAAACCTTATAAGTTACAACAGCCCAGTCCTGACTGCCTGGTGGAGGTGCAGCCCATTTTTGCTCTGGCTCATTCATTCGGATGAAGAGGGGGAGAGGCTTGTCGGACATGGAGAAAACCCAGGACATAAACTGTATCGCGTCATGTCTTGCTTAAAATGCCCTTGGCAGCCTCCCATTTCTCAGACTCAGTCTAGATTCTTTGCCACAGCTGGCAAAGCCTCCCCTCCCCAAACTCATCTCAGACTCTCAGCAGCTCTTTTGCCTACAGGTCTCAGCTGTAGGGTCCCCTCCTCAGAGGGCTTGCCCCTGACCGCTGCATCTTCCAGCGGCCCTTGCCTGGTGCCCCCCCCCCACCCCCCGCAGAAGCCCTCTTGTTCATTTGTCACTGGTCTATAACTGCTCTTGGCCATTGCATACCAACGCCAGCGGGAATGGTTTGCTCTCAATAATTATGCATTGTTGAAAAGGAGGGGGAGAGAAGGAGGGAATTAGAGAAAAAAGGATTAGGTGAAAATTTTAGGAAATATACTTTTCATAAGTCAGGGTAGTGTAAATCAAGCTCTATGTGAGTTGTAATAAAATTGAGAGTAAATTGATGGAAATTATAATCCAGGGAAGGAAGGATAGTCTTTCTAACAAATGGCAGTGGAACAACTGGACACCATGGACAAAACCAAACAAAAACCTCTTGACCCAAGTCTCATACTTCATACAAGAATTAACTCAAAATGGAGCATAGAGTTAAATGTGAAACTGTGAAACCTTTGAAGAAAACATAGGCGAGGCTCTTTGGGACCTAGGGCTAGGCTAGGTGATGAGTTCTTAGACTTGACACCAAAAGCATGATCCAGCAAAGAAAAAAAAAGATAAATTGAACTTCCTCTAAATTAAGAACTTTTGCTCATTGAAAGAGCCTCTTGAGACTATGAAAATGCAAACCATTACTGGAGAAAATATTTGCAAATCATGTATCTGACAAAGGACTCCTATCTCAACTATATATAAAACTCTCAAAACTCAACAATAAAACAAAACAAAAACAAACAAATGACTGTGTTAGAGAAAGGACAAAACACGAAGAGACAGAGGGTATATGGATGGCAAATAAGTGCAGGAAAAACTAGTAACACCCTTCGCCATTGGAGAAATTCAAATTAAGAGCCTGATGACACGTCACTGCACACTTCAGTGCAACTAAAGTAAGAAATAGGTAGTGACAGGGTGGCTTCCCCTGTGGCTCAGATGGTAAAGAATCTGCCTGCAATGCAGGAGACCCGGGTTTGATCCCTGGGTCAGGAAGATCCCCTGGAGAAAAGAATGGCTACCCACTCCAGTGTTCTTGCCTGGGCAATCCCATGGACAGAGGAGCCTGGTGGGCTACAATGCATGGGGTTGCAAAGAGTCAGACATAACTGAGCAAATAACATAGTGATGATGCTCAATGCTGGCAAGGACGCAGAGAAATTAAACCTCTTACACATCGCTGGAAGGAATGTAACATAGCATAGTTGCTCTGGAAAATGGTTTGCTAGTGTCTTGAAAAACTAAAACCTGCACTTACTATAGGAGCCCAGCAATTGTACTCCTGGCATTTACTCCTGGAAAATGGAAACTTAGTCTACACAGACACCTATACACCAACGTTCATAGCTGGAATACTTGTAATATCCCCAAACTGGGAACAACCAAAACACCCTTCAGTGGGTGAATAAACTGTGGTCCATCCATACTATGGAATATTATTCAATTGTAAAAAGGAAAGGACGATTGATACAGCAACAGCTTGGATGATGTCAAGGCTATTACGCTCATGGAAAAAGGCCAGTTTCACAGGGTCACATACTGTATGATTTCATGTACATACCTTTCTTGCAATGTCCCAGGGGTCAGGGAATGGTGGGGAGAGGGGTCATTACACAGGTGCATGAACAGGTGTCTTTGAGGTGATAGAACAGCTCTTGATTTGTAACACAAATCTACACATGTGATAAAATGCATGGACACCAAATACGCAGACACACACTGTGTGTAAAACTGGTGAAATCTGAATGGAATCTGTATATTGTTACAATGTCAGTTTTTTAGGTGTTTTTTTTTAATGTTTTTTTCAAATTTAATGAATTTGGCTGTGTCAGGCCTTAGAATCTTCACTGCACCATGCAGGAGCTCTCGTGGTACACAGACGCCCCAGTTGTGGCACATGGGCTCAGGACCGCGTGGGCTCAGGAGTTGGGGCGCACGGGCTTAGCTGCCTTGTGGCATGTGGGATCTTAGTTCCCAGACCAGGAATCGAACTTGTGTTCTCAGCATCAAAAGGCAAATTCTTCACCATGGAGCCATCAGGGAAGTCCCAGGTTTTTAGTTTTGATATTGTACTATAGTCACATAGGATTTTATCATAGGGGATAACAGGATGAAGAATAAACAGGATGTCTCTGTACTATTTTTACAACTTCCTGTGGATTCATAATTATTTTAAAGTAAAATATTTTCTCAAAACGCAATCGAGCATGCTAGGGGAAAGACTAAATGAGCTTTCTACTTTGCAGAAAAAATATTACAAAATTACCATCATACAAAGAGGTGATCAAAGAGTGAGGAGCCAAAAAAATGTAGGGGGAAAATGAATATAGGGTGTGGCAGGCAATTAATTTTTTTTAAATGTGTTATTTTTCTGGGTTTTGTGGCTTATGATATTTGTCAGCTTATTTAAAATTTTAATTTGTTCTGATTCTTTTTCTCATTCTAATTAAGTATTCAGTTTTATCCCTAAATTTGTAGTCCAGATTTTGAACTTTTTTTCTTAAAGAGAATCCCCAAATATGAACAAACTCCTGGTCCCATGAAACATGGAACTGCCCTTGTGTGAAGGTAAAATGTTTCTTTTAATTATAACAGAGTATTAGGTATA